TTATCATCAACTAGACTGGTTGGAATTGGTATCTCAGAAGTAATGTCATCGAGCTTCGGTTTTACTTTGTTTTTATGCTTATCATCAACTAGACTGGTTGTGGTTGGTATCTCAGAGGTAATGTCATCGAGCTTCGGTTTTACTTTATTTTTATTTTTATCATCAACTAGACTGGTTGGAATTGGTATCTCAGAGGTGATGTCATCGAGCTTCGGTTTTACTTTGTTTTTATCCGGTTTATCATCAACTAGACTGGTTGTGGTTGGTATCTCAGAAGTAATGTCATCAAGCTTCGGTTTTACTTTGTTTTTATGTTTATCATCAACTAGACTGGTTGTGGTTGGTATCTCAGAGGTGATGTCATCAAGCTTCGGTTTTACTTTGTTTTTATGTTTATCATCAATTAGACTGGTTGTGGTTGGTATCTCAGAAGTAATGTCATCGAGCTTCGGTTTTACTTTGTTTTTATGTTTATCATCAACTAGACTGGTTGTGGTTGGTATCTCAGAAGTAATGTCATCGAGCTTCAGTTTTACAGATTCAGATTTGGTTTTCTCTGGTTTATCATCAACTAGACTAGTTGATGTTGGTATCAGATCAGAAGTGATGTTATCGATCTTCGGTTTTACTTTGTTTTTAACCGGTTTATCATCTACTAGACTGGTTGGATTCGGTGTTGGATTCGAAGTGCTAATATCTTCTAGACTGGTTGTAATGGAAGTGGTCGTGTCATCTACAGATTTAGATTTGTTTTTATCTGGTTTATCATCAATTAGACTGGTTGGATTTGGTGTTGGATTCGAAGTGCTAATATCTTCTAGACTGGTTGATGTCGGTTTTACTTTGTTTTTATTTGGTTTATCATCTACTAGACTAGTTGTATTTGGTGTTGGATTCGAAGTGTTAATATCTTCTAGACTGGTTGTAATGGAAGTGATCGTTTCATCCACAGATTTAGATTTGTTTTTATCTGGTTTATCATCAACTAGATTGGTTGGATTTGGTGTTGGATTCGAAGTGCTAATATCTTCTAGACTGGTTGGAATGAAAGTGGTCGTGTCATCTACAGATTTATATTTGTTTTTATCTGGTTTATCATCAACTAGACTGATTGGATTTGGTGTTGGATTCGAAGTGTTAATATCTTCTAGACTGGTTGATATCGGTTTTACTTTGTTTTTATTTGGTTTATCATCTACTAGACTGGTTGGATTTGGTGTTGGATTCGAAGTGCTAATATCTTGAAGACTGGTTGGAATGGAAGTGGTTGTGTCATCGAGCTTCGTTTTCACAGATTCAGATTTGGTTTTCTCTGCTTTATCATCAACTGGACTGGTTGATGTTGGTATCGGATCAGAAGTGACGTCATCGGACTTCGTTTCTAGTTTATCATCAATTAGACTGGTTGAGGTTGGTGTTGGATTGGAAGTGCTAATATCTTCTAGTTCTGTGCTAACAAGATTACTAGTACTAGATACCAAAGATTCAACTTTAGTTTTCTCCGGTACTATGCTCTTTGACTTTGGTGTTGGACCGGAAGTGCTATTATCTTCAAGTTCGGTGCTAACAAGATTGCTAGTGCTAGATACTAAAGATTCAACTTTAGTTTCCTTGGGTTTATTTTCCACCTTACTCGTTGGTATCGGTGTTGAATTGGAAGTTGGGTTTGATTGTTTATATTTAATCTTCAAGCTCGTTGATGATTTTATCATATTTTAGTTTTATGCGTGGGTATCTAATTTTTTCGTGTTCTTCCGATTTATGCGTTTCCGATACTATATTTACAGCCTGGGACTATTTCTTTAAAAATACCAACACATACGTTCTATCGAAGGAATGTAAGGCTGAACGACTAAAGCACGCAGGTTAGTCGACAACCCAAAAATATAAAAGAATGAAGGAAGAAACAAGAAAGGGGAGGGGAGAGAATTTGCATATCATATACATGGAGGCATAACCACCAGTATATATTTGGATGCAAAATATTTGCTCAAAATTGATTAAAATCGTAATATTTGTCGTATTTGAAAAATTAAAAATTCCATATCTCGTTAATCAATTGCTGTATTGCTAAGAAATTAGTAATTAGATCGTGCATAAAATAATTTAACACTGATTAACTTTTAATTTTCCTATTGGTAGCAAGAAAAAATTGAATTCTTTATTTATTATGGTTCACTAAATCGATAATCCTTATGGAATATTAGAATATTTGATAAAAAAAAATGATGCACGATTGGTGAAAAAAAATATTGAATATTTTATTCATGTTATGAAATGATTGAAATGATTAGTAGATTTTTTCCCCATTGACGACCTCTATTGAATTAATTTTCTTTATAATAGGGCCAAGGGGGTGTGCATTTATAGTTCATGATGTTCAGGAGGAGAAACATTATTTTTTATATAAGGACAATTTTTTATTTTATTACTAAGGTGAGGACATTTTGAAATATCATCATTTGTACGTTTATGATTAGATTTAGCGTGAGGGCAATTTTGAACATAAGGACATCCTCCTTCCTTGAAAATAATTTCATCATTTTCGACCCTTTTCTTGATTTTTTCGAAATAAGCTGTAATAGAAATATTTTAATTATTATAATGAGTAAAAATGAGTAAAATGGTATGAAATTGAAATTTTTTTAATTTTAAAATATGATCATTACGGCATTTATTTGCGGCGGGACAATTTGTTTCATCCCAATTATAATTTCTTAAATTGGTGCCTGGAGAGTGATAAGCTTTATAATAAGGGCATTTTGAATTTAAAGGACATTCTTCGCTAGCTTGGATTGTAAAGAGAAAAGAACTCAAGAGTATAATAAAAGATATAAGAACAGTAGTCGATTTGGAATAAATCATTTTGTATGAAAGAATATAATAAATTCTTTATATCCTTTATATAACATTTATTTCCGCCCAAAAAATTTCTCACGCAAATAACCCCTCGGTCATACTGCATACAGATTGACATCTCGTGTGTTCATTAATATATACAAATTTATCTCCCAACGAAAGGGATAAGATACATTGCATTGAAAATTATCCTATTATTCCAATTATCAGATTAGTCATCTAAAAAATTTATAAAATCAAAAATCTAAAATATCTTGCAATCAAACTCAGCTACCTAATTTTTTTTTAAAAAAGTCATTTCACCGCCAGAATTAGTTTGTTAAAATATAATAAAAGAAAAAAAAAAATTGAGATGCCTTTTTATTATCATCAGATGATTGAGAAAATAATTTAAATATTAGTGAAATTTTATAGTATACATATTGAAAAATAGAAAAATGGAATCTAAAAATGAAAATTGCTGTAATTTAATTATTTTTATTATTTTTTAGGAATATAACGAGAATAACGACAATGACGATAACAATTATAGCAATTATAAGGGAGAGAATCCATTTCTTTTTACGGGCAGAAAGAGCACTCTCTTTTGCTTTACCCAAAGCTTCGTTCGCCTTTTGAATCCCGATGGTAGTATTTTCAACATTAGATTCGACCTCTATAATTGTCGTATCAGCAGCCGATATTTGAAGATTCAATTCTTCAAATAGTTCCGCAAGTTCCACAATAGTTTTCTCAATATGTTTTATATCTTCGTGTCGTCTTTGTACTTGACCCATTGCTTCTTTAGCTTCACCAGTACGTAAAAGAGCTTGTTGAAATACTGGTTGAGAATTTGGATTTGATACATAATCTTGAATTTCTTGTTGAGTAGCATTTGGTTTAATAACCTTATATTGTCTACCAATTCTTTCTGATTGTTGTTTGATATAAGTACTTTCAACTTCATGAAATTCATCAAGAACATTTCCGAATTTTTCACGAAGGAAGTTAAACCTTTGAATTCTTAATTGATAATTTGGATCGGAAGTAGGGATTTTAGAGTTTTCTAACTGAATTTCTTTGATACGGTCTTTGGTTTCAGCAAATAATTGTCTTATGTTGTTGATAACTTTATTTCGTTCTTGAGCGAGAATTTCTTCATCTTGCGTAGAAGTTGTTCCTAAAATCTGAGCTTGTAAATCCTGAGTTCTATTAATATTAGTTCGAATGGTAGTAACATTTTGTTCAATTGCTGCAGCTCCATTCAAGAAAGTACCAAGGTCGTTTACTTTCTCTGAATATTCCATCTTTTTTAAAATAAATCCTTACACAGAATGTAAATTATTTATGTATTATTTGAAAAGTTATAGATTAACTGTATTTAGTGAAATTCGTTTTGTTGTGTTACAACGAATGCATAAAATCTAAATATAATCATTTTTTTATAGAAATAACTAAGTTTTATTGTTGATTTTAACGCCAATTCTTTCTGATCATTACAGATAACATCATATGTTTATGATGTTCTGCTTATAATCGTGAGTAACGTTCACAAACGTCACATTTAGATAATTGATTTATAATATCGAGTAATTATACTTTTAAGGTAAAAATATTTATAGTAAATGGTTTCCATATATAATATATCATGTGATACATAAATTTTATTATTCGGGTGTTATCTATATTATCGTAAGGGAGATAAATAAAAATGCGAATGCATCATGTAGAATCGAATTAACAGCAGTAAAAGTAGTTAAAGTAGTAATAGTTTTAGTGGTATTAGTAGTATTAGCTTTAATTACTTTAATTAAGGCGCCGGAACACTGATTCGAAGCATTACCCTCAGATTTCCAGACAACCTTGAAATTAAAAAGTAATATTCATTAGTAAAAATTTGATATTCATTAATAAAAATCAATTGAATTACGCCCCGAGTGTTTGTTGTTAAGATCTACTGTGGCATTGAATGTAGTACAATTTTCTCTAATGATTCATCTTTTAATGAAATAAAGTAAATCCAAATTAAGTTAATACAATTAATTATTTGCGTGCGTGCACACCTGAAAGACTGACGAAAGTGCCATCCGTGGGTGGTGGTGAAAAGTAAAATTGTAAGGCGCCATTGCTTTAAAAAAGAAAAAGTAGGATTACTATAAATTTATAATTTTTTTTTTGCTTACCATGTCCACTCTCACAGATACAAATATAAATTCAAGAATATATGTCAATATTATATGTAATTGTTGTTTCTCTATTTTACAATAAATTCTGAAAATGTAGAATATTCTACTTACTCAAAGGAACAGTTGTTATTAATGAAGTGTTGACCTGTTTATAACCACCACAAGTAGAGTCTTTAACATCGTAAGGTAAATAGCTCCACAATAAGGTGGTTTAAAAAAGCTAATATGAACATTTAATTTAATAAAGAACATGAATAAAAATAAAAAATAAAAAAAGAATTTGACAGATTTTCATATTGCAAATCATAATGTTATTTATTAATAAATAAATTATAAATTATAAAGAACCAAAAAATAACAATTACGAATGCATTCGATTTTAAACAAATAAACATGCGTCGTAAATTGTTGGAACTTTTATCGAATCTAACGAATCGAGAGACTTTAATTTGATAATCGAGGACCCAAAAAATAATGAATTCAAGGTTCAGATAATTGAGAGATGAATACCTTTTTTGTTTAAAAAAAAAAAAAATTTTCTTTATTTAGCGATATAGTATTCGGGCAAAGACTTCGTTTTTGATAGATTCATGGTTATTTTTTTGATATACCAAATTTTCATGTGATATATAACATGATTAACTTTATTGTATGAATTTATATATTTTTTCATGTAACCATAAAAGAGATAAATAAAATGTAAATGCAACACGTGGAATCGAATTAACAGCAGAAGATGTTTTAATTAAGACTTCGGCGCATTGATACCAAGTTTCATTACCATCCTCAGATTTATAGATAACCTTGAAATTAAAAGGTGATATTAATTAGTAAAAATTTGAAATTAAAAAATTGACATGTGAAAAATCAAATATAATTACTTGAATTACGCCTCGAGTGCCGTTTGTTGCTTTAGCCTTGCTAAGATCTACTGTGGCATTGACTATAATAGGAGCTGCGATTAAATAACCTTTAACGAAAAGAAATCAATTTTGTTAACAATACATAATGTAAATCCAATTAAGTTACAATTAATTATCTGCGTGCGTGCACACCTGCAATACTGAGGAAAGTGCCATCCGTGGTGGGTGAAAAGAGAAAGCCTAAGGTACAATTATACATTTATAAATTTTTTTATTTTTTTTTGGTCACCATCTTCCGATCGCACAGATACATCGGTTTCTACAAAAAAAATATATGTAATATTATATGTTATTTCTTTATTTTACAATAGATTCTAAAATGTAAAAAATTCTATTTACTCAAAGGAAACGTTGTGATTAATGAATTATTGACCTCATTATAATCACCACAAGGAGGGCTTGTAATATTATACTCATCAGTTCCACGACTAGGTGGTTTAAAAAGGTTAATATGAGCATTAATTTCAATAAAGAACATGTAAATAAAAACGAAAGAAATGAATTTGACAGGTTTCATATTGCAAATAATAATGTTGATTTATTAATAAATAAATTATAAATTATAAAGAACGAATACGTTCAAAAAAAATAACACCGATTTTTATAATTTTTATTATCATATATTAAAAATGTTTTAACATATTTATAAATGGTTTAATTTATATCATGTGATATAACATAATTAACTTTATTTCATTAAATTTGATAAATATAAGGTGAAAATTATCATAAACTCATTAAACTCCCAATCAAAGTCATCATAAGAGATATAAATAAAAATGTAAATGTAACATGTGGAATCGAATTAATAGCTGAAGAATAGATTTAGGAGTATCATCATTAATAACATAATCAATCGGCGGATATGAAAGAATTTCTTCCGGAAAAGATATTTTAATGCGTTAAATTCCAATGAAAGTCATGATGAGAGTGATAAATAAAAATATCAACGAAATATGCGGAATCGAGTTTGAAGAAGAAGAATTAGTAGAAGTAGTAGAAGTAACGTAGACATCGGCACATTGATACCAAGTAACATTTTCTTCTGATGTCGATACATAGATAGCCTTGAAACGAAATTTGATGTCCATTAATATAAAATTGAAATATGAAAATAAATAAAAGCAATAAATAATTTTTTTTCTTAAGAATTTAAATATAATTACTTGAATTACGCCTTGAGTACCGGTTTTTACGTTAGCTCTGCTAAAATCTACTGTGGTATTAAATACTTTTGTTACATTATCTAAAGCATCCGCTATTAAATCGTCTTAATGAAAGAAATTAAAAGAAATTAATTTTTAGCAAAAGGTAATTCAATAAAATTAAAATAAATCCATACTTGCGATCTTGCTGGTAAAAGAACCATTTCCAGAAACGAGTGCAAAGTAAAAGCTAAAGGTACCGTTGCCTTAAAAAAGAAAAAATTTCTTGATTATTTTCTGTTATAAACTATTATTTAACCTTTTTTTTCTTACCGTGACCTGATCTCATTGATACTTCGTATTCTAAAAAAAAATCAAATTCAAGTATGTTTGTCAATATTATATGTAATTGTTCCAAAGATAAATATTAATATTCAACTTACGCATAGTAACATTTGTAATGAATGAAGTGTTGACCATATCAGAACCACCACAAGGAGCAATGTTAAGGTCATCATCTCCACGATAAGGTGGTTTAAGAAACTTAAAGTGAGCATTAGCTCCGATAAAGAACATGTAAATAAAAATGAAAAAAAGAATTTGACAGGTTTTCATATTGCAAATCATAATGTTGGTTTATTAATAAATAAATTATAGAATATAAAGAACGAATACGTTCAAAAAAATAACAATTGCGAATGCATTCGGTTTTATAACAAAATTTCAACCATAGATTAATAGAAGATAAACAATATTATGTAACAAATAAACATGCGCCGTAAATTGTATTTTTCTATCAATCTAACGAATAGAGAGACTTTAATTTCTTTAATTTGATAATCGAGGACCCAAAAAATAATGAATTCAAGATTAAGTTCAGATAATCGAGAGATGAACGTACACAAGCTCAATTAATTATGGTTACTAGTCCAAATTTGGGGGATTAATTTTTATGCAAAAAAATGTTGTGAATTATTGTTTTATAATTTTTTTTTGGTAACATTACATAAAGAAAACGCCAAGTTATTTAACTAAAATTGAAAATTATCGAAAATAAGAAGTTTCTAATACCTGACATAAATATTTAGATGAAAACTGAAAAAGTGAAACCTTCATAAACTTTAAAACTCTGGAGGACATTTTTTTATTCAACATTTATATATTACTTATTGTGTTATTGTGTGATTTTATCAATCAATATACATATGTTGTACGCGTGTAATATGTTATTGCATTTGGTATAAAATATTTACATCTTACAACTTTCACAACTTTCATTTCGAAATTATTATTATTATATTTTTTTTTTTATAATGAATTATAAATTATTTATTTCAATTTTGTTGGTCGTAACATTAGCAATTACTCATACTTTAGCCCATAATGGTGTAGATGATGGGGACGAGGAACCACCGCCAACAGCAACAACAACAGCAACAGCAACTAATGCGGGTGTGAATGAACAAGAACATAGTAATAGTAAATTGGCATCAGGAAATATTGGTCTTGGATTTGGTCTTACAGCAATGTCTGCTGCTGCTTCAGCGTTAGGATCTCTCACTCCATTTCTTGACTTATTATTTCCATATATACCATGCCTTAGTGGTGTTAAAATTACAGAATCTAAAGGTTTTCTGGCTGGTTCATTTTCCTTTTCTGCTGGAATTTTATTATTTCTCACCTTAGGAGATCTTTTTCCTGAATCAATAAGTAGTTTTAAAGAATCTAGAAAATTTGACCGAAAATTTTCATCAATACTTGCCTCTTCTATATTTATTATAACAGTATTAATTATTATGTTAAGTAAAAAAGCAATTAAAGTTTATCGTGAAGACGAAAAAACTGAAGTTTTTAATAATATCGATGATTCCAAAAATAATGTTTTAAAAGAAGAAGTCAAGATAGGTGAAAAAGATTTAAATAATGAAGATAATGATATTGTCTCACCCCATACTGCTCGCAAACTAAAGCATTTGGGTGTTTCAATAGCTATCGCATTAGCAATTCAGTAAGTAAAATTGTTTTTTTTTTGAACCGAATTTTAATTTAGTCAAGAATTTTATTTAATTTTATTTTATTTTTTTTAGTAACTTTCCCGAAGGGCTTGCTGTATTTTCAACCACAATCGAATCCTCTCGAATTGGTACTATATTCGCGATTGCACTTTCTTTACAGTAATTACCATAAATCTATTTCAACTAATAAAGCATAATTTCCATAATTTCAAAGATTTCAAATTTAATTTCATCTCTAATTTCTATAATTCATTCATCATTTCTATTTTATAATTTATTTAGTAAAATTCCTGAAGGATTAATAATATCCTTACCAATATATTATGCAACTCAATCACGGCTTATTGCCTTCTCAATAGCTGCATCCGTTGGCGTAGTCTCACAAATGTTGGGTGCTATCCTTGGTTATGTACTCTTTGTTACCGTTTGGAATTCTGCAGTATCAGGATTCCTTTTTGCTATCGTTACGGGATTTTTACTTTATATAATTTTACATGGCATGTTACCCTTAGCACGAAGTTATGATCCAAAGGATAAATATTGTACATATTACTTATTTGCTGGATTATTCTTTTTCTGTTTTGTTGAATCAATTTTCGATCTTGCTTAACTTTTTTTCTCTATTTTTTAAATATGAATTTTATAACGAGATTTTTGAAATTTTAATTTTATTTTATTATATATATACTGTATTGATTTTTAATAAAAGAAAAATAATTTTATAATCACATTTAATAATTACTTCTATATTACATGATGTTAGTGGCACTGTGTAACCTTGGTCAAATCATTATAAATTCAAATAAAACTTCTCCCGCCATAAAAATATTCTCACTATAAATACTCTTTTTAGAAATGTCGCATACTGGTAGATCTTACACTGCACCACCACCTGCGTATTCACAAGTTCCAAGTTCCGAACCTTCCTCTTCGCGTGATCCTCATGTAGGTGAAGAATGGGATGTGCCAGAAGATTTTAAAGTTGGTGTAAATGTTTCCGATTGCGATGTTAGTATTCGTATGGGTAAGTCTTCTCTGGGTATTCTCATGAATAACCTTTTTAATTATATAAATTATATTTCTATTTATTATATTATTATATTTACTGAAACTAATTGAATTATTTATTTTCAAAAGCTTTTGTTCGCAAGGTTTACTCCATTTTATTTGCCCAACTTTTTATGTCAACTGTTGTGGCTGGAATTATGATGTATAACGATAGTGTTAAATATTGGGTTCAAACAAAGTATGAATAATTTTATGAGAATATCTTGAACATCTTTAATATCTTTAAAATTGTCAACATAAAAAAATAATAATGAAAATTCATTGATCATTACTATTATTATTATTATTTATTGAATAGTGGATGGGCGTTGCTTTTATCTACTATTTCGACTTTCATCCTTTTGATTGCTGTTTTATGGAAACGTTTATCTCATCCTCTTAATTTACAACTTTTGGCGGCCTTTACATTATCCGAGAGTTATTGCGTGGGTACTGTTGGTAAGAAAAGGACTGATGATGTCATTTTTTTGTATTAATTATATATTGATTATATTATATTATATTATATTATATTATATTATATTATATTTAGTTACCTACTATGATACTGAAATCGTCTTGCAAGCTTTGATTCTCACAACGGGGATCTTTGTCGGACTTACTTTGTTTACTATGCAATCTAAATATGATTTCAGCGGAATGTTCCCATAGTAAGTTTAACACTTATTAACTTTATTGATTTTATTTAATTTTATTAATTTTATTAATTAATTATTTTATTTTATTTTTTAGTTTATATACTGGCCTTTGGGCTTTGGTCATTGTCGGGTTTATTGGTATCTTTATTCCGTTCAGTAGTGGTTTTGATTTGGCTTATGGTATTATTGGTGCTTTAATATTCTCCGGCTTTATCATTTATGACACCTTCAATCTCATGAATCGATTAAGTCCTGAATTATACGTAGTTGCTGCTCTTGAACTTTATCTCGACTTTATCAATCTTTTCCTTTCGATCCTTAGAATTTTGAATGATTTGAATCGATCTTGAAAATTGTAATTTAAAATTTCTTCTCTTATGAACATACGAGGAATTTATTTAATCTTTTTTTTTTTATCTTTAAATTTTTTATAATTCAATTGTATATTCGTTTTTTCATTATTGTTCTCTTAACCCATTTTTCTTTGGGGTTTTGTACATTTTGTGTTATTGTATTATGAGAAGACTGCAATAACAATAATAAATGATGTTGGTTTTCAATTGTATATTAAGCAAAAGTATCGTTTTTGGTAGATCTATGGTTATGGTTATTTTTTTGGTATTTCTAGTATAATTATTCTATTTATCACGTGAATAATTTATATTAGTTGCATTAACTATAACTAATCAACTTGCATAAACTATATAATCGCTTACATAATCACGCCCATCACAAAGAAAATTCTCCGGGCGCCATATTAATCTGAAGTTTACACTTATCACATTTAAATATGAATATGTATAATTGAGATACATTTGTATTTTTAGTAATCTTGTCAAATCAGATTTTTTCTTTCTTTTAACTTATCATGTTATTTATATTTTCTTACATTTTTTGCTTTTTGTCTTGTTTTTATTTTTATCTGTATTTGAATAAATCAAATCAAATTAAAATTTGTTTATTTAATTACTTATTACAAAAATAAAATTTATAACACATAAATAATAATTTATTTAAGAAAAAAACTACATTTAACCGGAAGAAAATTAACTGGTGGGCAGAATTAAGTTAATGTTGGTAGGTTTAAGGTTAGGGGATTGACCAGGAATTATGTAATTCTGCCTATGAAATTTCCCTCTGGTGAAAATTAGCATCACTCTTTATTTAATTTATTATAATTTATATGGTAATATATAATTTTGAAACTAGATAAATTTAAAGATCCATAATCATATTATATATATTTTAATATAAAAAATAAAATATTTATCTAAAAAAATATTTTTAGCAGATGAAAAATATTTTAATGAATAAGTTATTTTGATATAATTTTTATTTGTTTATCAAAATTGAGAAAATTATAGATAAACTGATAGAACACTGGTCAAAATCTGGCATATCGAAACCTATCAGGCACTTATCATGGTACCTGATAGGTATCCGATATACATTTTTTGACATATATCAGGTACCCAATAAGTGTCATCTTATTTCCTAATATCGAACACTTATCGAGAACTTATCGGTCACATATACTACACATATCAGATACCTATTTTTCAGTTATTTTTTTTATATCAATTGGGTACCCGATTTTTTTATTCAATATTGGGAACCTATTAGTGATATATTCTCCTCTCTGATAGGTATCTGATATTTTTTTTATTACATCTATCAGGTTCTCCAATACTTTTATTTATTACATCTGTTAGGTACCTGATAAGTGTAATAGTCATATTGTATTCGAATGCTTTTTTCAAATAAATAATACAATTAATAGCTTTATTTATTATTGCACAAATTTTATACAATTTTATATAATATATATATAATATACCCAATATCCATTTATTTTTATTAATATAATTATTATTGCATATAATAAATGTATGAAATTTAAAATGTTCTAAAAATATACTATTATAATAAAAATATAGAAAATTTAAAATATTCAAATATCCTAAAAATATATTATTATTATTACCATTATTATTATTATTATTATTAAATATTCATTATAAAATTGTTCATTTTCTTTGACTTTTTTTATTTTTTTTCTTTTTCTTTGATATTTTGTGATCATACTTTCTTTTTTTATTTTTTGATGATAATGATGATGACGATGATGATAATGATAATGATGTTTGGTTTTGTTTTCTTTTTCTTTTATCAATTACAATTAAGTCATCATCATCATCTTCTTCCTCTTCTTCAGTATCTTGATCATATATTTTTATTTTACTTTTATCTCTATTTTCATATATTAACGCCTCTTCACTAAGTATCCACGAAGGGGCCCTTTGGGAGGATTTATCTCTCAATAAATCTTTGATACAATGTTTCTAATTCTTGGTTTATTTTGTTTCTTACAGATCCAAACTACTACTGGATCGATTCGTTCATGTAATAATTTTAATAACTAACAAATATATATATTAATAATATACCCGATAGGTATAAAAAAATATTATTATTATTTTACTTACAGTATCTGATCTTATACACATATATGGAAGTTTTCTTTGTGATAAAAGTAGTATTATTATTATTATTATAATTGTTGTTATTGTTCAGAGCATAGTTATTATTATTGTTATTATTATTATTATTACTATCATTATTATTACTATTATTATTATTTTCATTATTATTTTCATCATCATTATTGTCATCATCATCATCATCATTACTATCATAATTACTATCTATAATTGTTGATCTTGCTTCTGATGATGATGATGACGATGTTGTTCTTGCTACTGCTGATGATGATAATAATGTTGTTGTTGTTATTGTCATTAATTCTAATATTGTAATATTTTTTTTATTTTCATTATTAATTAAAATTAATGAATAAATTTAAATAATAAAAATATTAACTTACCTTCGTCATCTGTTTCTTCCCATTCTTCT